TCGTTTGCTCTTCCTGGGCTCTCGAGCTCGTCGCCGTTTTCGCGTTTGGGGAGGAGGAAGTGGAGGCGGTCTCGTCGGTCCGCCGCGTCGTGGGATCGGGACGCTGTTTCTGGCGTGGAGGAGGAAGGGAGCAGAGGACAGTGGTCCGGATGCTGCGCGGAGCGGGAGGCGAGTGAAGCCGGCGGGAATGACATGTCGAGACTGCGTGCGCGGCAGTTTTGTCGGCGTCGTGCGCTCGGTGTCGGTGTCGGTGTCACTGGGTGCCACTGGCGCGCTCATTGTGTTGTTGAGCGGGCGCGCTTGCGACGGGGAGTCCGCTCTCGCTCAAGCCCAGGCGTCTCATGAGGCGCGATTGGACTCTCGAGACCAGGAGGCGTTCTGTGAGACGGTGTCGGTGTCGGTGCCGAGACCCTGTGGACGGAGGACGACACGATATTTGTCTCGAGACCGGCCGCGTGTTTGGCGTCGAGATATTCTTGTGCCCGAGTCCATTAGATGGACTTCTCTGTCGGTTTCTCAAGGCGGGAAGGGAAAGTGGGACGTTGTTGCGTTGCGGGCAGCGCCCATGGAGTTCCTTCTCGCCCTTCGTTCGATCAACGAAGGAAGATCTTTCTTTAGTTTTTTTCGGAAGCTTGGGGGCGCGTCTTGCGTTTTGTCGTTTGTGGAGACTCGGAGCGAGGTATTACCATGCATGTCGTCAATAAATAAAAAATGTATTCAAACCCATTCCTTTGAGCTGAATCAAATCCTCGAATTGAAATGGATTGGCCCAAACGGAATACAATTCCCGCGAAAGACAGTCGTGTCGCGTTCTAGGTACAGAGTCGATCCATCTATCTAACCTTGGAAATGTATCTACGTCCATGTCGGCTCGTTGTCCTGCCCTTGCTAATCTAGCCATGAAGAAATTCCAAGCGTCCTTCGTGATTCATCCATATCGTCCCCCGCTCCCCCACAAACCCACCCACACCCCCCTACTCAAGAAACAGCCCCATATCCACGAGAAGCCCCCTCCTTGGCTGAATGGGATACACAAGCGCCAAGGGCAGCCCTACCCAGAGGTCAGTCAGCCGCAGTGCCGTCTGAGGGATACGCCGTCGACTACACGGCGTGCTTCGACGTGTATGCGAGGAGTCGGCCGTCCCTGAGCCCGGAAGGCACTTGGATTGGAAGAGGGTACCGGCAACCTGTGCGGGCGCGGACTCAGTTTCGTGTACTTGAGAGCTGGATGGGGGAAGGCAAGAGGAAGGAGGACGCACCATAGCAAACACATTCCCCAAGAAGAAGCGCGTATACACGGTGGCCACCACGCCCACCGCCCATCTCCCGACTGCTCCCACGGCGCCGTATTCCGAAACAGCGAAAACAGCGGCACCTAATGATTAGTCAGTTTTCCTTCCGAGCATGCAGGCGCGGTAACGCGCCTCTATACAGCTTCGGCGTCCTGTGATATCACGCCTCCGTATCATGGTCCACCACACGTCCAGCCCGTACTGCCCTCGATCAAGACTGTGTGCATCATACACCTCCGCGTCCATGGCGAGCTCACAGCCATTGGCAAGGACAAGGACGAGCCCGAGTTGGGGACGGTGTATGCGCGGCGCTACTTGGAAGGCGCCGCAGAGGCCCACGAAGCCCTGAGGTAAAGGCACTTAAGCGACGCGCCCGGAGGAAGGAGGAGGAGTGTACGTGTACGTACGGGGAGGATGAGCTTGACGGAGCTTGACGCGACGGCGCAGCAGAGCAGCGGAGACGAAGGTACAGCTCATTCCGCACAGCAGCTGAGTCGCCCCAAGCGATAAACCCCATCGCTGAAGCCGCAGATCGATGCGGACCCCATCCCACCGCATACGCCTGCTCATGATCTTGTAAATCAGCCCGTCGAGCATGCGCGAGGCCTCGAGACGGACTGCACCTGCGAATGCAAGTATCAGCTTCGGAGAGAGGAAGGAAGGAGGAAGGAGGAGGAGAAACGCACTACACACACTCCCATAAACCCCACCCGCCTTGAATTTCACAAACTCAGTCGACGCCGCTGCCGCAGCTGCTCGTCCGCGCGGCGTCGTCGGCGAAGCGGAGCAGCAGGACGGCGGGGCGGGACCTGGAGGTCGAGCACACCGCGGGCTGCATGGATCTGCGCGGGGCGCCGAGCAACCGTGAGCGCGCGGGTGAGCTTGATTCCTGGCGCTCGGGAGGTCTGCAGAGTACGGTGACAGCGGTGCTAGGTTACAGAACGGAAGAGAAAGATATGGACGCGCACGTACACCTGCGCCTTCTTCCTCTCCCGGTCCCTCTCGCGGCCGCAATCCTTCCCACCGCTCAGTTTCACGATCACATCATAATTCCCCACCCATTAACGGCCAACGACCTCCTCACAATCGACATACTCCTCCCGCCCCACCAACACCAACACCAAACCCGCCGAATCGCATCCCTTGTTTTCCATCCACCCGCGCTCGCTCGCTCGCGCCGCCGTATCCGTATCCGTGTCCCTCGAAGACGCGGTGCGAGGACAAGGCGGGACGTCGGGGCGTTCTTCGGCGTTTGGCGTAGTTGGCGTAGGTGGGCGGACGCCGAAGTCAATCGAATTCCTGTAGATGAAGTAATTAGCATTCTAGACGAAGGGAAAGCGAAGGAAAGGACAGAAGCTGACCTGGACAAAGGATACGCCGGCCTCCCATTATATCCCATCGTCAGGGGGTGACGCCGGTGTGTCGAGGGACACCGCAGATGAGGCAGCTTGTTCCACCAGGCACCGCCGTTACGCGGTTATGTGCGCTGGCGGAGGGTGACGAGTTTGGGTATGGAACTGAGGGGTGCGCCCGCGTGTATTGTGCGGTCGGGGTGCTGCGGGCGGCGGCTGAGGACGAGGAGGAGCGGGGGCGCGCGTGTGCTGTGGGCGGGGTAGGCGCGAGCAGCCTGCGGAGAGTTCGACGAGACGCAAGGGTATTCACTCAACGCCCAGCGCAGACGAGATTGAGGTCGGGGTCGTCGATGTCCCCGTGGCGCTGCCATCGTTGTACAGCTTCGGCAAGGCCTAGAGCAAGCGGGTTTCATTACGGCGTGCAGTCTGCTCGACGTCCGCCAGTTTGCTCGATGTCCATATCGCGACAAGTGTGCTCGACGTGGCCCGTGTCGCCTGGGTCCGTGGACAAACGGACGCGTGATGCGTGGTGGTGCCTCCTCAGTTTACCATTTGCATGCAGTCCGCGCCCCGCGAAATAATCGCGAGCTTCAACGCGTTCAACGGGCCGTTCCAATGCCCCGACTCACTCACTTGATGCCGCTGATGTAACACGCCCGTGAATCCATGACAAGAATATAACATTTTCCCCTCCGAGTCCTTTCCCCCTCCGTCGAAAGAACATGCGCCTCCTGCGCGTCTGCCGCGCATCTGCGACAGTGCTCTCTGCGATGGCGGAGTGGGCGGTGCGGACGGTGCGGAGACGGAGCTCAGGGTCGATGGTTTGGTCATCGTCTGTGTCGGTGTCGTCGTATGGGAGGTGGGCGGGCGGGCGTTTGAGGGAGGTCATTGAGGAGGGAAATTAAGAGGATGTTGACAGCTGTTTTGTGAGTAAGCGGGATTACGAGGACGCCGCTATCAGCAACACCCGCAGAAACAACTGATCCACAGAGGGCGGCCACTCGACTGCCGCTGCTTTCCAATCCACCTCTGTCCGCGTAATCACCCCCAATACCCCGCGAACAACGCCTCCTCATCTTTTCTTCGGCTTGATTCGTGTCGCGCCACAGCAATCTTTCGAATGTAGCTAGTTGCCCTGCGCCGGCGATGCGAGGCGATACTTGGCTCTTCTTGGCTCAACTCGACTTCGTTCAGTTGAACCTGAGCTTGGCAATCCCAGATTCAAATTGAATTAGGTCTCGCCGCTACATCTTGCCTCTACTGCGGCGCTAGTGGTTTCTTCACGCTCCCGTACTTCATTCAAGCTACGCCTTCGAGCTTGAGCTTCTGCGCCGGACCCACAATTCTCCAACAACCAGAACAGTCAGGACCAACCCAAGGAAGGATGCTTGCGCCCCCATTAAAGTAAAGTGCGTATCTCAAGGCAAACGCAATGAACGAACACATTGAATGGCGCTGAACTGCGATTATGCCGGAGGAAAAACTCGAACGCTGGCCGCGGCGGCGACTGCAGTCCATCGCAATTGATTTCCTTCTTGCTTCACTCGCACAAACGGGCCAATACGTACGAATGAACTACTTCATCGCAGTGTATACTGGAATTCAAGCAAACTTGAACCCTCCCTTGCCTCGACCGTTCTGCCCATCTTCTCCCGACCGGCACGCGAAACCGAAGCGCAATAACTCACGAAGCTACCTCGTCCTTCAGTCGGTGACCCTCGCGCCTCAAAATATTGAATGCACTTGGGAACGAAGCATGCGAAGCTAAGTGAGATTGAATTGAATCCATTGCAACGGCGACGCGACGCAAGACCCCGGTTGAACTATTCCCTCTAGTCATCGGTGTCGATGTAAGACATTCATAATGCCCGCGCCCTAGATTTCTCTTCTCACGAACCTGCGTCAAGGCGGTCAATTAATCCTTCTAGTACGTGAGGGCATATCGACACCTCGACTCGTCGAATAGTTCGCCTTTTCGACTTTGTACCCCACCCGCCGTACTCTCTCACCAAAATATCTTACCTAGTAGGCCTCAACACCAGGTCAATAAGCCTCTATAGATTAATGTTAAATCACCTCCGCTGGATGTTTTCAATTCCCAGGTGTACTTCGAAGGAGACGTAGGTTCAACTCCCACTGGAGGCATTTGCAGTGACCCTTGACCTTTTTTTCTGTCCGCACTTTAAAACATCAAAACATTCAACAGTGCTCGAGGACGGATAAACTTCGCCTTTCATTGAGATTCAATTCAACATGCACCCATCCAAACGGACCAAACCTCAACCCTTTAAACCATAATCGAGTCACTGCAATCCAGTCAAATTATACCTAGTAGGGTTCAACACTTAGCCAATACGCCTCTATGGATCAATGCTAGATCGCCTGCGTTGCGTATTAATTCCTGTTCCAAGTATACTTCGGAGGAGAAGTAGGTTCGAGTCCTACTGGAGGCGTTTAATGCCTCTGCGAGCTTTAATTTTTCTGTCCGCCCTTTAAAATCTCACACATGGAATAGTGCTTGATGCAGCTCGATGTGCAAACTTGCGTGTCGAGTTGTTTCAATTCAACATTCAAACACCCATCCAAGCCCGCAAATAAAAACGAATCATATTCACCTCCGACGGCGGCACTCTTCCACCCTCCGCAAATTATACTCCCACTAGTAGGCCTCACCACCAGGTCAATAAGCCTCTATAGATCAGTGCTAGATTAGATCACCTCCGCTGCCTGCGAGTCTTGTTTAGTAAAGCATCCTTCAGAGGAGACGTAGGTTCGAGTCCTACTATAGGTGTTTGCCATTTTCTGTTCACTCTTTTTCTCGGCACTTCCGGAGGTATTCGAGTGTGTAGTGACGTCTGCACTTTTTCTCGGTACTTCAAGATCTCGAAATATTCAATGGTACTCGATATGAAAACTTGCGTGTTCAGTTGTTTCAATTCAACGTTCGAACATGCACTCATCCAAGCCTCACCACAATCACCGCGAGCCACTGCAATCCAAACAAATTATACTGCCATCTAGTAGGGTTCAACACCAGGTCAACAAGCCTCTATGGATTAATGTTAAATCACCTCTGCTGCGTGTCGTGCTCTGCTGAAGAATTCAGAGGAGACGTAGGTTCGAGTCCTACTGGAGGCGTAATATGATGATGTCGGGGTACTCCGCACTTTTTCATTTTTTCTCAGTACTTGCGCGGTGAGTTGAGAACTTGAGATAAAATTCAATTCACCATCCAAGCCACGCCGCGAATAAGCATGAATTACATTCATCTCGAGCCGCGGCACTCTTCCATCCTCCAAACAAATTATACTCCCACCTAGTAAGCCTCACCGCCAGGTCAGTAAAGCCTCTATAGATCAGTGTTAGATCACCTCCGCTGCGTGTGTTGGTATCCAGGCATACTTCGAAGGAGACGTAGGTTCGAGTCCTGCTCGGGGCGTAATCCTCTACCGTTAGATCTTTTGATTTTGCCTTTGTGTACTGCCCTTCGACACTTCTGGATCTCGAACCCTGCTCGGCTTACACGTTCCATCCAATTCAAAACCATGGTTCAATTAACTGACGGTAAACTTCCTCAAGTCGTAAAATCCTTCGTGACGAGCCACATTTTCCTTTCGCTATAGACAACCGCTTCTTCCAGGATAAGCCTCTACAGATCAATGCTCGATCCCCTCTGTATCGTGTTCTTGCGCAACATAGGTTTCGGAGGAGATGTAGGTTCGATTCCTACTGGGGGCCTGGTCTGAATCCAACTGTATTTTTGTGTTGGCAACTGAGTTTGAAGGTGCCAACCCCACTCTGTGCATGCTGCCAGGCAGCTGTTTTGTTTGACGAATGTACGGCCCTTAGATCTGAACTGGTGGCACCCTCGCCACTCACTTGGTTGATTTTCAACATCCGATCAAGTGGAGATTCAACGGCTGTTATATTTCGTTATCGGGAGCACTCTCGAAATTCTCCAAGCTCATTTGAGTTCGGTTCAATGAGGAATAAGCCTCTATAACCTCAGTTCACTGTGGCGAACGTTGATGACTATTTCCGAGGAGATGTAGGTTCGAGTCCCACTGGGGGCGTGCGATGCCCAGATCCTCTGCCTTTTTGATTAATTCCTGCCCACATGCAAAATTTCGGGGCTTCTGCATTTCAGACATGAATTACCCGACTTGCGCATTCCATCCGATTCAAAGCCATGGTTCAATTGAACTGGTAGTCAACTTCCTGCAAGTTGCAAGGTCCTCCTGCGGTGAATCAATCACATTTTCTTCGACTGTAGGCAACCACTTCTTGCAGGATAAAGCCTCTATAGATCAGTGCTAGATCGCCTCCACATTGTTTGCGAGTCCCATTTGATCGTAGGTTTCGGAGGAGATGTAGGTTCAATTCCTACTAGGGGTCTAGTTCGAATTTTACCTTAGATGTCTTTTTTTGTTAGCGCTTTGAGAGTGCCAGCCTAACTCTGGGTAGCAGCTTTACTCTGTTGTGTTCAACATTTGGACAGCCTTCGTAACTGCATTCCTGCTCCTCTAACACCATCTCGTCATCCAATACTAATCAAATCAATGTTAAACGGGTACCCTATAACAAATTTCCGGAGCGCAAAGTTTGCCTGACTCAGGCAGGTTCAGTTCAAAAGTGAACGAGCCTCTACGGATCAATGCTAAATCACCTCCGCTGTAGAGGGGGGGGGGATTTATTATACTCGCTAGGTCCACAACATGAACAACGAGTCTACGGAAAGATGATGTTCTTTCAGCATATTTCGGAGGAGACATAGGTTCAATTCCTACTGAGGGTGTAATAATGCTCGCACGCCTTTGCATTTTTGATTTTTCTCGCAGCACTTCGAAATCTTTCACTGGTACTCGACATACAAACTCCGCGTCTTGGGTTGAGATTCCAACACCGATCCAAGCCTCAACCCTTCGAGCCCCGAACAACATATGTTCACCTGTAGTCACGCCGCGAGATCAACCCTCCATCAAAAATACCCGGGTTCAAGCCGCTGACCCACTCGTACCTCGGGAGCGGGATTAAAAGAGGGGGGAAGTGCACTTGCATCGCATTGTATCGTATATTAGTATTTAGGTGGAGAGTTGACCTTGCGGTGCATATACTTATATGCGTCGGTATCTTGAGAGCGGCCTGAGGCATGTCTCGAGGAAGGACTTGGAAATCGGGGTCAGTGGTTGGAGGAGAGGTTGAAAGGAGGAGGTGAACACACAGGGAAGGATGGATTGTTGTAATGAGACAGTTTAAATGCCTTCTGGATGAATATCTGGGTGAGAGTTGAATGAGTTCGGGTGGTTGAACGTGGTTGAACCGAGTTTACTTACCTGGGAGTATGGGGTTGAATGTCGCCGTTTGAGGCGTTGAAATTACGAGAAATGAACATGGGTTGCGAATACTGGTAGGAAAAACCAGAGGGAATTAGATTACGGACCCACCTGGGTATTATAGTTCCGATCGGGCGGGTGGTTGAAACGGTGATCCAACATCGCGATTCTGCCGGGTCAAAATTAAAGTCCGGGTGAAAAACAAAGTGAACACACAAAAGTTACAGGGATTGGAAGTCCTTAGTAGGAATATCTTCGCTGAAAGACGCAACAGGACTCGAGTCTCGACTGAGTCGGGCGTGAGGTTTAGTGTGAGTTGAAAATCTGAGCTGTCTGGAAGGTTACCGAATAAACCACAGGGAAACGAGAGCTCGTACAGTTCACCTGACCTCTTTGAGTTCGTGGGCAATGTTCTGCATGTAAATTGAGCCATAATGGAAGTTTGAACTGCCGAGAACGAGGGATTAGCGTCGGCTCAAGAAATTGAGTGTGCCTGAGAAAGTACTCGCACCTGGATATTCGGTAAATCCCAGAAATAGCTTGTGAACATCCAATGGATAGAATAAAGCCCTAAAGCGCGTGAGGTGAACCTTGAATGACCGAAAATAAATATCTTTACTTGAGATCAGCACCGTGGGAATTAGTTCAAAACCACCCGGATTGAGGCCGCTGAGGGCAGACTGCGTAGTGCATGTTGGGAGAATGATTAAAGGGGGGGGGGGGAGTGTACTTACATCGATTTATGTGGTCGTCGACGAAAGATATTAACACAATGGCACATATATTCAGCCTTTTGTGGTGTGCTCTGTGCTCTGAAGGGGAGGAATCGGAGGTCAGTGATAGGAAGAAAGGCTGAGGGCGGAAGATTAGCGTACGAGGGACAGTGTATTCGTCCAGTGGGTGTATTCGGATGCTTGTGGATGAATATCTGAGACGAAGTAGAGGGGTTCCGAGAAAGGTCGGAAGTTGAACTAAGTTTACCTTGGCGGGCGTGTTGGGACGGGGCCGGTTGGACGAGGCCAAATGCAATGAGGAATAGCTGTAGTCTGCGAATGGACATTCAGAAAGATACAAAGGAATGAAAACTAATATGGAGTTACCTCGGAAGTTCAACGTTACAGACAGGTTACGGAGGTTGAAGATTGGGCGCGGTGGTTGAATATTGCGGTGTTGGCGGTCAAGATGGAGATCTGGGTATCAGAAGGGACGAATTAGCAGTGAAATCAAGCTGTAAGTGAGCTGCAAGTTACATATACCCGGTTCCAACAACTAACTGAACCCACTCTCGAGTCGGGGGCGAGGTTGAATTTGTGCTGAAAACCCAGGTTGACCGAAGAATGTGTGAGGTTATCAGGGAATATAGCTGTAAAGGAAGGCTTAACCAGTTGAAATAGCATGCTCGAGTTCGTAGACAATGCGCAGCGTCCAATTGAATGATAATTGAAGTTGAAACTGCGGGGAACGAAAAATTAGCGTCGGTTCATTGGATGTGAGAGAATACTCATACCTAGAAGCCAAGCAAAAGTCTACAGGGGTACAAGTACATCTACCAAGAAAATGAAGCCATGTTTTGCTATAATTGGGCCTCAACCTGACGAGAAAATAAAAAAAACTTACATGGCAGACGGTAAGATCAAGGCCGTGTGAAAATAGATAAAAAATATCTGGATTCACGCCGCTGAGGACACAACAGGTCAGTGTACACGGTGAGGGTGGCAAAGAGATAGGGAAAGTGTGCTTACATTGCTTTATGTGGTCACCAACCAAATGTATTGGGAAAAGGCGCATATATCCAGTATCTTGCGGCGCTGTCTCTGAACGGGAGGAATCCAAGGTCAGTGGTTGAGGGAGAGGGAGAGGGCGAACTTTTAGGGTACCAATGACATTGTATGAGTACATGGGAAGTGTTTGAATGCGTTTTGGATCGAGGCCTGAGATAAAGTCGAGCTGGGCCTGGGGGATGACGAGGTGGATGGTTTACGCTGGTGGATGTATTGGAGTGTTGCAGTTTGGACGGCTTCAAGTTGAATGGAGGAACTTCATCGTCTGAAAATACACGTTCAGAACGCCACGAATGAATGAAACTTAACTGGAACTGGCCTGGACAAGTTAAAGTTGAAGATAAGGCGCGGTGGTTGAATATTGCACTTGGAAATCAAACCATGGACTGGGTAAGAAAAGGACGAATGAGCGATGAGAGACGGTGATTGGCAGTTGGATGGGAATCGTAACTCGATTGGAAGGAATTGAACAAGGTTGCAGCAGTTGGAGGTAACCAAGATTGTAGTTACCTTGAATTGGAGGGTTTGGCGGCAATTTGTTCGGTCAAAGTTGGTGGGCTGAAGATGACGAGCAAATAGTATATTCGAGTTCAGGGAGGTCGTATGAGGGCTGGTTGAGGCTGAAAATTTCTTTTAGCGGCAAGAAGACAGTGGGAACTCGGTGGGGAAGTTGGTGGGGATCCGGGGGACAGAGATGTTTACGAAGTGGAGGTTTTTCATGCCGCGCAGTTGAAATATAACTTGAAATAGATCCAATTGAGCAATAGGAGATCTTCTGAGACGGTACTGGCCAGGAATAAGACATACCATGGTTGTAGTGAATATTTTTGAAAGGGCGGGGAATTGACAGTGACGAGTTTGAGGCATTCGGCGGCAGCGGAGTTGGGAGATCTAAATTGAGGAGAAATATATAAGTCAAATTAAATTTCGAGGGATGAGAACTGGGTTATATCTGACTTATCTAACCCATGGCACAGACATCAACTGCGCCAACTAAAAACTAGTTTGAAAGTGAAAGGAGGGGGAAACTATTTGCTCATCGCATATATTAGGTCATTAAAAAACCTCCAACAGAGGGACAACGCACCTGAATGCCCCTAGTATCGTATGAAAGTGACATTTCCGATTTGGATCCAAGTTTTGCATCGAAAGACATCGCCCTGAAGTCAAGTGAGTGTAAATCCAGTCAGAACTATGTGCCCCAGTAGTCTAGTAATGATTTTGATGGCTACGGCATGGGCAGTTCTGTACGAGAGAGAGCAAGTGCGATTTTTCAAAGGCATCAAATAGTAACCTTATTTGAGGGCTGGTCGCGGGGCTACAAGGGAGAAAAGATGCGGGGGAACTCTATGAAGCTATCCAGAGAGTCTTGAGGCAAGTCGAGGCCGAGATACAACGCAGTGAAGGAAATGGCGTGAAGGCGCTTAACGAAGGCACTTGCCATTTTGGGTTGCCGGCGGTTAGCCGACCAAATCCGGTTTCGGCGATGCTCGGACTTTCAAGCTCAGCGCTGATGGCGCGCTTTCCGTGTGTTTCTCTGGCGACTATTGCGGCGGCGGCACCCTCAAACTGCCGAGAACATCAAGAAACCTTCATCATTCCCTTTTGTTCGACGGGCGAGACAAAGAGAATGCGCCGTACTTAACCGGTATCCGTCCCAGCTTCCTTATCGCAATGTATTTCCGCCCACAACCTTTCAACCAACCGCTCGAGTCATCGCCGATTGACTCGCTCCCGGTCCAGCTACTCGCCTATTGTCCTTGGTACGCACGACCCCATACATCTGTCGCATTCTGAGCAGCAAGACGATTGCCAGCCTTTCGACTCGGAGAGTGTAAAAGCTCCGCTCGTATATGCCAGCGTCAGTCGACACTGGCGAAGTGTCGCACTGAATACACCTGCACTATACACCAGTCTCTGTATTACCCCGGAGCTGCTCCGCGAGGTCGGGAACACCGAGGTGTTGGAGACCATCGGCCTCTCGTCCTACCTTGCCCTCTCGCGGGATTATCTTGTCGACATCGTCATCGATGCGCGCGACCAAGAATGGGACTTTGGTGATACCGAGTGCGTTATATCTCATTCGATGGTATATTCGCTGACAATCTTGGTAGTGCATGGTTTTCCGCCGACCACATGAGTGCCGCCATGTCCGTACTACTGCCGCACCTCGGGCGATGGCGCTCTTTGTCAATCCTCACCGACGTTTACGATCCAATGGGCGCCGCACTGCGCCCGCTCGAGGTTCATTTGGCAGCCTATGGTGCCCCGCACCTTGAGA